ATCAACATGAGTATGCAGTTGTACAAAAGAATTTGATTGTGCCGGCTTATTTTCTATAAGTGTATTAGATGTCCTTGTATCGTGTTGAATATTATTTTCAAGCTTTAATCCTATATTGGCGAAATAGTCATTAATAAAGTTTGCTGATTCAGAGGGCGGAGAACTTAAATTGAGCAGTTTAGAATTAGTATTATGTGTTTTTTTCGAGTATGTAATGTTTTTAATGCTGTTCCAAAGCAATTTATTATTATTTAAAGATTTTGTACTATTAGGTAAGTAATTACAGTTGTTGGGTCATCACTAAATAAAATATCAGATAGATTACTATTTTGTAAATATTTTAGAACAGCATCAAAATTTATGGTGGTTTTAGTTCTATTATTTTTAGTTAAGTTTTTTATTTTTGAGATTGCTAGAAAAGGTGTAAAATGATCCGTAGTTGTTTGTAAAATCGCTTTAGTTGATCTGTATTTAATTTTATTTATTTTTAACATGAAATGGTCAAGGCAGCTTTGCAGCCTAGTAGGTAATGTGTGTCCAGCTAATAAACCGTAATATAGCATGTCCAGATAGTTCATTATGTTTTTGTACACATGCAAAGGTTCATTAGGTTTAGTTCGAATATTTATGTGGATATCACATGTTATTATAATGCTCCTATGGGAGGGAAGAGTCTCCAAATGAGAGTTTAGCGTATTGATAAAGTTTGTAGGGTTTGGGTTCGATGGTGATCTGTAAATACATAATACTGTATTATTCAATACATCAATCTGGAAACATGAAGCGTGTTGCAAAATTACTTCCTTGACTTTGTGTTTTAAGCTTTCTTTTATACATATACAAATACTCCGTCACTTTGGTTTAGTTGGGAAGAGGTACAATAGACTTCATAGTTGTTTAATTATGGGAGAGGTTTATTGGGGTATAATCTACATTCCGTGAAGGTGACAATATCCTTTGCCAGAATAAATGTAAAATCGTTACAGTTTTTGTAGATACTAACAATATTCTGAGATATTATGGTTAAGTCATTTTTATTAATTTGTATTTGTCTCTCAAGATCAGCGACATCGCACTCTTATTGCCTTTGCTATTTTAATATTGTCTAATTCTTGAAGCGTATACAACGATTCAGCCATATTGAAACAGATGTACAAATAATCTAGCAGTAGTAATAATTAAAATTTGCTACCTAGGACAAAATTAACGGATGGTATACATAAAAAATCCAACTAAAGTGTATAAGCTGTGGGGTTTTTATGTTAACCTTTTTTATCCTGTACATATCGACATATGGTAGAATGAGTTAGACATAGTGCGTAATGTTTTATTTCGACATTAAAGGAGCGGGTAAAAAATGTCCAATACTTGGACACCCGCAGTCAACGGAGATATTTTCGTGTCTAAGTGTTAGACATCCGCAGTTGAGAGGTTAAGCAAAATAGGAGGCACATTCTTTGGACACTTTTCCAGCTCTAAATACCATAAACTGGCTTTAACAATTTTCTAAGAACACTAACACGGGTCGAGCAGCACCATATCATCTGCGTAACTTAAATTGTTTAAAGATACTCCGCTGCTCAATTCACCGATTAGGTCATTAACCTTTTGAGCGCCACGCCAAAAAATCGCTACCGTGTCCTGTACGCCAAAGCGAAAAGTAAACAAAAATACCTACGAAAAAAACAATGCTGCCAAGAGTTGATATATCGATAACACAAAATAACTGGTTTTTGTTGGTTTTTTATACAATAAATGACTCTTTATAATCGGGTATGTTTTATTTAATCTTGTGCGGTCTTCCACTCTTTTTATATATGTACTTTGCACATAAATAAAAAACAAACAATAGCAATAAAATAGTAGTAAACCACAACACTACTCTCCATCGTGATGACGTCACTGTCACGACTGGACGACAACGGCGTAGCTGACCTTTCTTTTTGAAACTTTCTTAGAGACGTAGCCGTGTCGCACGTTGTGTATCGATTTCAAAATCGATCTAACCAAAATATACAGACATCAATTCAAAATATTTTATGGCGAGGCGTAGGCCAAGTGAATCACAGAAGAAAAGTCACGCTCTTATGACAATGGGGGTTTCATATGATGCTGATGTTGCTAAATGATTTTGAGATTGAGAACGAAAATCGCACAACACAAAATGAAAAATTGCTCTTCATACCTTAAGTAAAAAAAACACATTTATTATTTGTAATTTTATATTATTAAAATAAAAAAGGTACATAATTATTCACTAATCAACAATTGTATATAGGTAATTATTCGCAATAGGGAAATCAGTCTTATAATGTTAAAATCTTGGTCATGAAATTAAAAATCAGTAATTATTATAAAAATCAACAAATGGTACATAATTATCCACCAATCAACAATTGTATATAATTATTCGCACTAGGAAAATCAGTCTTATAATGTTAAAATCTTGGTCATGGAATTAAAAATCAGTAATTATTATAAAAATCAACAAATGGTACATAATTGCGTTCTATTTAACGTACAAAGTTTTTCTTTCTTTAAAATTGTTGAGGCGTTTCCTTAATAATTGCTTACTATGACTGATAAACGATTTATAATATGTGGAAGTTCGAAATTCAACTCCAAATTTCTCGCAGTGCTCAAGAAAGGTAGGATAAAGATATTACAGTTCTGCATGATCCAACGTTGGAAAATAATGATGAAGTGCATGATATCCAAACCGTGTAAGTGATTTAAAATGGTTGTCATCGTACCAACTCTCTCAACTAAAGTGTCCAATTGATGAAGACACCAGTCATAACACATGTCTCTGTAAAAATACAATATTTTGATTTAAAAAAAATACAATTCACGAGAAAACTTGTCATGAAGAAAAATGTATGTAATTATTATCATTGTAGATTGTATGTGTGAGAAAGCCTTTGATTACTGTAAGACGCGAAAGTGTTAGTAACAAAAAAAGAACGTCGCCGCCGAGTACAAAAGAGCAATTTAGTACTAAGTCGACACGCTATTTTAGATCTTAATGTTTTATTTACCATTACATTGATTTTTAGTCTACTCACATTACTATTCGAAACGATTGTAATGCCGAAAGGTAGAAAGTCGATATACTATTTTGGACCTTAATGCTTTTTCATTAGGTTGATTTATGATTTATAGTCTACTCACGGTACCTACTTTTCGGAAGGATTATGGTGAAATATGGTTTAAGATATTTATTTCGCTAAACAATATTACCATTCGCTTTGTAACAGAAAAAATATCTACTAGTTGCAGTATAAAAGTAAACGAACATGATGAGTTATTCCAAACTCGAAAACAAAAACATAAAAAATGTGCTCACAAGAGTCGCCCGGGAAACAGTTTCATTTTGTATCGAACTTATTATATTTAAAATTAAACAAAATATTATAAAATAATAGATACATAAAATAGGCAATATGCATGTTAGTAAAATAAGTTTAATTTATTAGGAACTTAAGACACTTACCTCACTTAAATCTTCAGGTAATTATTCAGATTCCGAAAATTCATCATCGTCGACGCTTTCCAAAATCCGAATGAGTTCTGAGGAATCGTTCATGTTGCACTGCACTAATTTTCCCGCTAATCGCTTATGACGTCATCAGCGTGTCTTCTATATACTTGACCACGGCGCCCAGTGAACTGATTTTCGATGTCGTGCTAAGGATGCGCCAGAGTTGAGATATTAGATTTATTATGCGAAGATAATTTGATATTTTTTTTTATTCATGTAGCTAATTATAGTTTTATATTTCTAACCTTTTGTTTTATTTAAATATCAATAATAATAGAAAAAAAAACACGTTTGAGCTTAATTTTGAATAGTTTTTCAATAAATTTATGCCTAACGCATTACAACACTAGCGGTCAAATATAGACGACTTTGGCGTGCTGGACATAGTATTTGCTTAGATAAAAATCCATTTTTTTAAGTTCAATGTTTCTTAGTAATTGTGGCTCTAGGAGACTTGTTTTTTATACTCACATGTTGCTCGGTTATTCTTTTTTTGAGGGGTGTAGAATTAAAATACCAGTAATAATTTTCCAATGTCTATATTTCATATTTTTGTGGGCCGGGTTTTTTGACGAGACGTCGTTGGCGCTCAGGGCCCGCGGGTGCTGGTCACGTATAGACGACTTTGGCGCTCAAAAGGTTAATGTACAGGCTGAACACGTTCGGCAGCAACAGGCACATACACGGGTGTTTTTCTATCCGTGTAGTACTCAACGGTTCGCTTAAGGGCCGTGCCATCTTGGCCTTGTTGAAAGCCCAGTCCAGAAATCAAATTGAGCATCGTGTAACTGCAAATGTTTTCTTAAATACGCATCAAGTAGACCGTCCAGTACCTTTGTTAATATTGTAGCCAACGATATAGGTCTATAGTTGGTTATGTCCGAGATGTCCCCCGTTTTAAATTAGTAGTTACACAAACGAATGTCACGTGTTGTTCAGCCAGCAGTCGCAGCCCGCTTGATATTAATATACGGCTAAATAGCGCTGCGATCGTGTAGATGTGACACTTGTGAAAGTTCGCACACATGCGATCTTTCCCGTAACTAACACTGGCCGAAGGTACCCGCCGGCCAGGGCTACCCGACTCTCCCCTATCTGTAGGTTGGTTCTAATCTAATTATAATAAAACAATAGTAATATTCAAGAAACAATCATTAATCACTACACTTTTCTAACAGCGTCAACAGCCCTATGAAACCTGTCAAATAAAGGACTGGTGGCAAAAAGTCGTGAAAACCCTTATTAATGAAGTTTTATTTTATTTGTATAAGGTAATATTTGTAAGGATTGCAGGAACAAAGTCTCATGGTACCTAAAAGCACCCTCACAGATCAGACAGGGTTTTGTTTCAAAAGTATATTTATGTACATATGGTTGAAATAATAAAAATATTAATGTATATAAATCTTCTTCCTCTTAGATGTCTTTGTAATACTTATTCATTTTTTCATTAATTCAGGCTGGGATGACATAGCTGGCCTGCAGATGGCGAAATCCGTGATCCAGGAAGCGGTGGTTTGGCCATTGCTTCGTCCCGATATATTTACTGGTCTAAGACGTCCACCTAAGGGCATTTTACTTTTTGGACCACCGGGCACAGGAAAGACTCTAATTGGTATAGTTCTAAACTTGAAGTTGCATTATCACTTTAATTACCTGATGATAAAATGATATGATGATATGATTAAATACCAGAGTGAATATATATATATATATATATATATATATATATATATATATATATATAATAAGATAATAAGTGTGTTATCAGAATCAGTATCCAAACGTATAGAAATAATGTTTTTTTTTTCAAGAAAAAAAACTATTAAAAAAACAATTTTAATGAAAAAAGAAATTAATTTGCAAATTGTATGTTATAATATATTAACAATATAAAATTTAACAATATAATATAAAAAAATAATAATATGATTGTATATATATATATATATATATATATATATATATATATATATATATATATATATATATATATAAAAATAAACCATGCTGCAGATATATTGTAGTTGCAGCACGAATGGGTCGGCTCGACCGGGGTAGGACCATCCTCTCACAGAATACCAGCGTCAAATAGCGGCTTAATGGTGCTGTGTTTAGTATGGTGAGTCTAGATATCCGGATACCCTTTTTACTGGAAACGAGGCATTCCATTTCGGTCCTCAGGGCTGGCAATGCATCTGCATTTTGATTTTTAATTGAAAATAAATGTAGACATCTATGGGCCACAGCATCCACTTAACTAACACCAGGTGGACTGTGTGCTCGTTTGTTACTATTATACTATAAAATAAAATAAAATAAGTGAAGTGACAATGAACTAAATCACTATGCAACAACTTCAAACAAAGAAAGCTACAGATGCGTCATCACCTTTGTCGACTGAGTTGGAACGTGTCACCGTCTGCTGGATTTTTATGCCCTTCAGATTAGTTCTTAAATTCAATTTATATGAGAATGTAATTGAATTAATTTTATTTGTCTCTATAACTTGCATGCGAATCATGCAAAATTACATAGTATCTACTGCATAATAGTACCAGCACTGCATTGCAACTGTACTGCATAGTACCTATTTACATGCAAATACAAGCGAATGAACTTGTTTTCATCTTTATTTGCAAGATGATCTTATAGCAAACGAAATTTGTTTCTCACCTTCACTTTTGTAGTTGTGGGTTGCTTACCCATAAAATATAAAAATTCACAACTTGAGAATAATTTATTGGACACGTTTTACAAAAACGATTTGGAGTTTTGGGTGCAAGAATCGTGTTCCAAATGCAGTTGATTCGCTCATTGGGCATAATATAACTGCAGCATGGCATACTTTATAATGTAGGAACCCATGTTCTAGTAAGGATTAAACAATCATATAGTCATTGCATAACAATCTATCTTGGTACAGCGCAGGAATCAGTACTTGGACTTTTGCACTATGATCGTAAGTCAATATGCACGGTTACGAAAGTTCCTAATGAATATTACTATTGTCAAAAACAGAATTTCTTATAATGTATCTTATATAATTCTTTAGCACAAGCTGAACATGTTTCAGTACGATGTGTAGTAGTTGTGGTCGTACGTATGGTATTCTTTTGAATAATATAAATGTGAGATGGCGCTGTCGTCGCGCCACTAGCGAAATCCACCGAAGCCTAAATCACGCTATCAACATTCCGAATCATAAACAGTATATATAGAACATCTTCGAACTATCACATGGAGTGTTGGGCGCTCCCCGGGCAGAACACCTTGCCCGGTGGGAGATCTCCCCTTTTCATACTACAGCCACAGTGGTGACCCCGACGTGATCTGAACACGCAACCAAACAACCTTCGGAAACTTCAAGCTTCATCATCGTCATAGAATACCCCACCCATTCGCTCCCGAGCAGATATCGTCTGCAGTCTTCATATCCTGCAAGACATCTAGCTTCACAAGGTTCATCGCAGCACTGGAATAATAATGCTTCCTGTTCCTTCAAGCTACTCTCTGCGCCATACAGTGTTCGGCACGGCTCTGAGCCTTACTGCTCGCCTCTGCCTCCCGGCACTCTCGCAGATTGCTTGCCTTCTTCTCGACTCACCGCAGACTACAGGGCAATCTCCTGGCACTTGCACATTCGTCGACAACGAGGCTGCACTATCGACCTCCGGTCTGAGCAGGGGGGTGATGTAGCGGCGCTGTCGTCGCGCCACTAGCGAAATCCACCGAAGCCTAAATCACGCTATCAACATTCCGAATCATAAACAGTATATATAGAACATCTCCGAACTATCACATGGAGTGTTGGCCGCTCCCCGGGCAGAACACCTTGCCCGGTGGGAGATCTCCCCTTTTCATACTACGGCCACAAATGTAATACAATTAAGAACATTAATTATTACCGTTTATTATTACCGTGTAGTGGCGGTATAAGAATATCCACTACCCCATGTCGTCCCGTAGATGTCGTAAGAGTCGACAGACGGAAATAAATCATGATTTCTGACAAAAAGACATTTTACGTGTTAGAGCCATGCTGCAGCTATATTAATTGTATAGTTGCAGCACGAATGGGTCGGCTCGACCAGGGAGAACCACGCTCTCACAGAATACCAGCGTCAAATAGCAGCTTAATGCTGCTGTGTTTCGTATGGTGAGTGTAGAGAACCGGAGACGCTTTTTACTGGAAAGGAGGCAATCTATCTTAGTCCTCAAGACTGACAACGCATCTGCATTTTGAATCACAAATGAGGATAGATGTAGATCCATTCGATGGACTGTGTGCTCGTTTGTCACCATTTTCCTATAAAAAAATGAGATGGGCACCAGTGTCTTCCTAATAACCGCTACAAATAAGATTTTTCCATTAAATGCCCTATTTAAATATAATTTACTAAAATAAGTTTATGCAACAAAATAGTACATCTTTATATACTCGGACTGTTGTTCGTGGGTGTACGCGTGTACAACGAACATTACATATAAGCATCTACACATCTACATACATATAAATAAAATGAAAGTGTCTGTAATATCGGTGCCTGTTTTTGGGTTTTAAGCTTAGATTCGAATCTAAAATTCACGAGTCAATAAGCAGGAGCGATCGTGGCCCGAGTAATGGTGTTTGGTTTGTGCAGGCAAGTGCGTGGCGGCGCAGTGTCGCGCTACGTTCTTCAGCATCTCTGCGTCGTCGTTGACGTCCAAGTGGCTCGGCGACGGTGAGAAGATGGTGCGCGCGCTGTTCGCAGTCGCCCGGTGCCACCAGCCGGCAGTAAGCAATATTAGCTTTTGTATTAAATGTGTAAGAAGCAAAGTTCGACGGCTCCGTGACCAAGTGGCTTACCAATGAGTTGAGGCGCTGAGAGTCACGGGCTTGAATCCCGCACAGAACAAGTATTTGTATGGTCTACAAATAATTGTTTCAGATCTGAATGTTTGTCCTTGTGAAATTTATGTATGTAAACTGCTTCAGCAATACAGGAAAAATCCTAGTTTAATGTTTAAAAAAGGTATTAAAAGTATAGACAATTTTTATAACTAATTACATAATGTGATGTTGGGGTTTGACTTCGAACGTTATTTACATTATTGACTACTAAACAATCTATCTACCTAAGCCGCGCTTCACTTCCTACCACCTTAAAAATATTACGATGTTTAAAATAGGTAGGTACCGCTTACTATAATATCCAAGAGCAAAACAGAGGGAATCTACTTGTACATCTTTCGGGCTAGAACAAAGCAGTGCGGGCACGTTGTATTGGCTAAAATAAGGAAATAGGGTGGTGCCTACAGACGAATTCCTAGGCAGAAAATACGACATAGTGCAGCATAAACCCAGATAATTTCATCATCATATTTTATTTTGTGTAACTTCTCAAACACTGTAACCACTCAAAATATTTTTTAAACGTTGCCTTCGTACAATGATTTTCTCTCGTGTCGTGGATGTAAACTGCATCCACGTGTGGGATCCGAACTCCTAGGCGCGTAGCGCTGCAACTCATTGCTAAGCCTCAACTCATCGCTACTCAGCCGTCAATAGAAATATGATTCGAATTTCTGCTTCTTTTTCTCCACTGCTGGTTTCGGGTCTCTTCCTTTGTGGGAAGGCTTTGCCTTAATCGCTACGCTAGGAAGGCGGATTGGCATTCGAAGATGGAGACGTCACCTTTGGCGCACCTCCTTGTCGCCGGTTTTGGTGTTTGTCGCGTGTTGGCGGCTTAAGAGATCCTTTGACCCCATTGTCCTGTGTAGACATGTGTCAATTATGAATGATTCGTTCGTTTGAGCTGATACACTTAAAAGTATTGATGGTTCATTCAGTTTTTGAATGTTCCTGTACAATCAATCACAAACAATTAACGGAACCTTTTTAACTCGTGATTGGTGTGAATTGTGAATGAGTCCCGAATGACTTCCCGAATGACCGACCGAATCCCGAATGATCAGAATAAATTGTTTTTAGTATAGGGTACTAGAGCCCGAAATTATCCATTTAAATGATCGATCCGAACGTACTTGTACGCGTGACGAAATGTACTAGAATAATTCGGTCACGAGCAATGAATGATTGACACATGTCTAGTCCTGTGGGTATTGTAAGAGGTGACTGTGGAGTTTCTCAGAAAGATGTTATTGGCTGTATAATTTATAACCATCTTGCTTACTCAAGACTTAAAATGTTTTATTCGTTGCAGGTTATATTCATAGATGAGATCGATTCGTTGCTAACGCAGCGAAGTGACAGTGAACACGAAGCCACGAGGAGAATCAAGACTGAGTTTCTGGTACAGTTTGATGGAGCGGCAACTGGTAATTGCATTTTTTTATTTAAGTGTTTTTAAATGTTCAAGCTCACCTGAAAATAAGCAGTCACGAAGACAGTAAATACACACAACCAAATTTACGCTGCTCTTCTTTTAGAGATATGGTAGCTAATCGGTGCAAGAAAACGGAACTTAACTGTGTTACCATATACAAGGTGTAAGTGTAAACACCGTTGTCACTAAAACCATAGATAGTTGGCTTTAATATAAAAATATTTATCCGAATTAAAAAAAAGCTATTTTCTTTCATAACATTTAAAAAGTTTCTGTCCGACACCGTCCGTAAATTCATGGATAACCTATGCGCCCGAATGACGTAATCACTGTAAAGATCACCGCCCGCGCTAGCTACCTACACAACATTCCAATAAAAACACAATAGGTACACATAACCTGTGATGTAACTTTTCCTTCATACTTTCATCCTGGTTTAGGACAGGCAAAAATTGAGGAATTAAGGAAAAATTGAGATTTTACTTAAAAAAAAATGTTGTTATTTTTCATTGAATTTACGTTCTATAAGTGAAACCAAACCACTGATTTCAAGAATAACGGTGTTTACACTAACAACCTGTATATTTTCAATCATTCTAAGTGGTGTAGTGTAGTTGGTAAGATATGTAATAGTTTGTTAACCTTTTGTATATTATGGTCTTCAGGTGAAGAAGATCGACTTCTGATAGTAGGTGCAACCAACCGACCACAAGAGCTAGACGAGGCGGCCCGTCGTCGACTGGTGAAACGGCTCTACATACCTTTGCCAGATTTACATGTCAGAGTCCTTTTAGTCTTTTTGCATTTTTTTTTTTGATGTCACCGAAATAGTATTATTAAATTTTTCCCGTAAGTGGCATAATCAAGTTATGCAATATAAATAAATTTTATAAATTGTTACGCTGGAGCGTGTACGTATATTAACTCTCACAGTATACCAGCGTGAAATAGCGCCATATTTTTTATGTATACAATAAGGGAAGTAGAGCCAAATTGCAGCTTAATGCTGCTGTTTTTCGCATGGTAATTGTAGAAAACCGGAGATCCTTTTTACTGGAAATGAGGCATTCCATCTTAGTCTTCAGGGGTGTTAACGCATCTTCATTTTGATTCCTAATCGAGGAAAGATTTAGGTGTCTATGGGCTACAATATATATTTACCATCAGGTCGACTGTTTGCTTGTTTGTCATCTTTAGTGGTTTTGTTTTAGAATAACAGTGTCAAACGAGCATAATCGTCTAACGAATTCATTTAGTGGTAAGTGGATTAAGATACCTCGATACTAGTTAAAATGCTTCTACACTCACTCACCAAACGAAACAGCAGCAATTAAGCTACTATTTTACGCTGCCATTCTGTGAGAGCGTGGTCCTTCCCCAGTCGTGCCGAACTATTCCCATAAGTGCACCACACGAGGAGATATTTTAAAGTTCGCGGAATATCTATAGTAAGGAGTGGAAATAAAAATTCAAATTTATTTTTCCTTTTCAATATATTCACCTGCTACCCTAATACATCGAATCTTTCAATTAACTTATGTATACCCTCAAAAATTATTTGTCTTTGTCTAAAAAATACGCCGAAACTGCTTCCTTCACATCTTCATCACTTAAAAACTTTTCGATGTTCTTCACAAAGTTCTTTTTTAAGTTTGGAAATAGATAATAATCACTGGGGGCCAGGTCAGGACTATAGGGTGGGTGTGGCAAAATTTCGAAGTCCACCTTCTGCAGGGCAGCCATCGCAACATGGCACTTGTGACCAGGTGCGTTGTCGTGCAGTAGACGGATTCTTTTAGTCAATTTTCCCCTTCTTTTTTCCTTTGTGGCTTCCTTCAATTGTTCTAGAATTGAAGCGTAGTAATTTTCGGTTATGGAGACATCTTTATCTTTATAATTAATCAATAGGATTCCTTCTGAGTCCCAAAAGACTGTCGCCATTATTTTCCCAGCCGATTGTGCCACCTTAAATTTCTTGAATGGTGGTGTGCCTTTTTTGTGGCACTGCATAGAGTCTTGTTTGGACTCTCAGGTTTATAATGGTACAGACAGGTTTCGTCACCAGTAACAATTCGGCCAACACTCCATCTTTGTCTTCCATACATAGGTCCAAAAATGCACGAGAACATTCCACGCGCTGTTGCTTTTGCGGTGGCGTGAACATTCTAAGCACCCATCTTGCGCTGTCTTTAGTCATGCCAAGATGGTCATGAAGAATATCTAAAATGGTTGTATTTGATACTCCAACCACTTCTGTGAGCTGTTTTTTCTTTAGGCGGGCTTATTCTAATGTAAATTTTTCGACTTTTTGAATGATTTCCGAAGTGATCACCTCGATCGGCCTTCCTGGCCGTGGGTCATCTTCAAGTGACTCTCTGCCTTGTTTAAAAAGGGTATGCCACTTGTAAACCATAGTTTTACTAGGACAAGAGTCTTCGTAAACGGATGAAATCTCTTCCAGTATAGCCTGAATTGATTTTCCACGCTTGGTAAGAAACTTTATAACTCGATTTTCTCCATATTTCACAATTTCTTCCCGATTGACTTCTTTGGTTGATGATAACTCGAAGACTAATGATGTAATTACAATAAAACCTGGTATTTATACTAATGATGAGTTGTTCAATTAGCACGTAATTCAGCGAAGTCCCCACTACTTACCTACCTACCCATTCCGCGAACTTAAAAACGCACCCTCGTAATATAGATGCAGTGTGGGTATAACAAGGCTTTTCTATTTTTATAGGCCCGTCAGCAAATAATAAGCAATCTGCTAAAGGACGAAAATAACGACCTCACATGTGAGCAAGTTGTTGAGATTGCTGCTCTTACCGAGGGTTACTCGGGTGCAGACATGAAGTCACTTTGTTCCGAAGCTGCTATGGGACCCATAAGGTCTGTGCCACTATCTCAAATCATCAACATCGATAGAGATAAGGTAAGGGAACAATTAATATAATTTGCATCTAATTTTAAATGCTGAGATGCATAAACACATTGTTGAATGGAACTGTAATAAGACTTGCTTACAGGTTCGTCCAGTAAACAGTGAAGATTTTATAAATGCTCTGCAGCGAGTACGACCCAGCGTGTCGCAAGACGATCTCGGGCAATATGTCAAATGGAACAGCACTTATGGCCAGGGTTTCTAATTCACATAATAAATGTTATATTTGATTATGATGCCTTTTACTATTAACTTTTTTTGAGTAATTCTACTTGTATCGACTTTCGTAACTTCTTAGCAAAAGTCAGTCGTTTTTTTTAAAAAGAACCTGTATTGTGTGTGTGTGTGTGTGTGTGTGCGTGTGTGAGCGTGTGTGCGCGTGTGTGGGTGCGCGTACGCGGGTGGGTGCGTATGTGTGCGCGTGCGTGGGTGTGTGTGTGTGTGTGTGTTTGTTGTAGTACTTTAAGTTTACCATTGAACTAATAATATGAACTAACATTTTTATAAAATCTGTAATGAAATATCTAGATACTTACAGGTTTTATGCAGTGGTTCAGTGGACTCACAATTAACTCACGCAACTTGTCTTGTTGTTTGCCGCTGACTGACTCCATAGATAAATAAATATGACTGACTCGAACATTGTTCCAATAATTAAAATGGCGGTTGTATTGCCGCGCCTTTATTATTGATTACTTTATTGATTGCCGTAGACAGAGAAACCTATAGACAAATTGACGCCTTCTTTCGCATTCGCACACGAAAAAGATAGATTTATGCATACGTCTTGCATAGAAATGAGACAGAGCGGTGTGATCGTTTGTCCCTTTCTCCGTGCCGGTTTTTTGTTTAGCAAACTACACTTTGCGAAACAACTTTGACAGTTCGTAGCAATCTAAGGAGTTTACAAGTTGGTTTAAGTGAGAAAAAAGTGTTTTGTGAGCTTAAGATTGGTGAATCTTGTTCAGTTCAGTTCTTAGAATAATTAAAATTTTTATCTAAATATGTTTAAAAGTCATAAAGATTATAGTATAACCTAAAACTACGTTATCGTCCTTTCTCATTCGAGGCCACGCTAATTATTAGTCTATAGGTTTCTCTGCCTACTTTGATTGCAGACTTGTAATGCCATCTCTCTTTCGTATTAAAAGTTCTTGGTGGTTGTCCGATTGACATACGATTTTGAAGTAACATGTGGGGCAACGTCATTAAGAGATTAGGCGATAGATAGCCAGTGAAAATATTATTGGAAGCTTTTATGAACTATTAAATAAGGTTGAATATTTTCGAGAAACTAGTTTTAATCTGACAATGGAATTTTTTTCACTATTCTTATTTTTATAGATGAGTAGTGCGTGGGGACATATAAATGTACAAAGAAAAGAACTTTTCGTCTTTTGGTCAACCACAAATATTTCAGTTGATTTTGTGTTAATTTACCAAGTCTTAATCTTTGTGTATTAAACATAATACTAATGATAAAGCAAACACTTAATTTTCCGATTCGCAACCATACTTTTTGAGAAAAAAATATTTGAATGTCTGGGTCAGGGGGTAGGACGAAAAATAGTTGATCGACCCAAATATGCTATCATTAAATAAATTGTAACATTTTGTTTTATTTTTTAATTAAAATATAGTATATTTTCATTATAAATTAATAAAAAACCAAGTTTTACGTAAACTTACTTCAAATAAAGGTCATGATGACGCACGCGGGAAGTAATTTTTGTCGCACGTACGGGAGATGATTTGTCGTGCATTTATCGTGTCACTGCCAGTGTGCTATTACTTTTCAATGTGAAATGTCGCACTTTAATCTATTTCACAATATTTCTTGGTTGTTTAAAGCATGGAAAGAATTTAGTGCATTCAAGTGTTCCTTTTTGGTGATATCCAAGATATTAAGGGGAGTACAGGAGCTATACGCAAGTTTTATAGTGCGCCAAAGTCACTGCAGTAAACAAACCAGAAAAATATATGATATTTTTCTTGTTATATGCTAGTTAACTGTTGTGTTGAAAACATGATACTAATAATTTTATACGATAGAAAAAAATCACAAAGATACCTCTAAAAATATCCTTTAACGAGTAAAAACCATACTAATATACATGCAATCATTCCGATTTTTTGTCAGATTATTATACAAGCTACTTATTAACTTATTGTTTTAATTTTTTGTCCAAATAATTGTTTTTATTTTAAATCTCATATTCTTATTTCTGAAATAATACGTACAGATGTATGCGTAAACGCCTGTGTAGAGATACACTCTTTTTGCTGCAGTATTTACGTAAAGATCGTTTAATGTATTTGTATAATTTTATTTTTAATTTCATTGTTTCATAATTTTTTTCCATAAATATTCTTCTTCCGTATACATGTCGATTTAAAATATTTAAAGTTAAAATAGCGTAGTGTTGTACCTTGTTAATTACCTAGGTGGATTGAAAAGTACTCGGCCTAACACAGATCCATTCAATTCTAAAAATCAAATCTACCCACATTATTTAGTTCAGTTCAGACTAGTTCATTGTGTGAAGTTCGAAACGTGTGCGATAATTAGTTGTGATTTTATAAATTTATTAACAAAGTAATCGGACATAATTTCCGCGAATGGAGCAAATCGAGCAGCGTGCCGTCATTAAGTACCTCCATAAGAAGGGGCTATCATCAAAAGCCATCCATGATGACATGGTCAGTACATTAGGCGATTGTCATATTCATCCATCAAAAAATGGATAGCAGAATTTAAGCGTGGTAGAGAGAGTGTGAAAGATGAACCCCGCTCTGGAAGGCCTTCGACGTCAACTACTGACGAAAATATTAAAAAAAGTACTTGATTTAATAATGGGAGACCGCAGATTAAAAATTAGAGAGATAGCCGAGATTATAGGCATCTCTTATGAACGAACTCAAAACATCATTGTCAACGAGTTGGGTTTCCACAAGGTGTCTGCGAGGTGGGTTCCGCGACTGCTTTCAGTTGAACAAAAAAGGACGCGATTGACTATTTCACGCGACTGTTTGGAGTTATTTGAAGCCGATGCAGATGATTTTTTGAATCGTTTTGTTACTATGGACGAAACATGCGTTCATTACTGTACACCGGAAACAAAACAACAATCAAAACAGTGGAGAAGACCTGGTTCACCACCCCCTAAAAAGGCTAAGTCGATTTTGTCGGCAAATAAGGTGATGGCTTCAGTATTCTGGGACTCGAAAGGTGTGATTATGATTGATTATCTTGAAAGGGGTCAGACTATAAACTCTGATTACTACTGCACCTTACTACGTCGTTTACGAGAGGAAACGTCGAGGAATGCTCAGAAGAAAAGTCCTGTTTCATCAAGATAACGCCCGTGTTCACACGTCAGTACAGTCAATGGCTGAAATTCACAACTGTGGCTTTGAACTGTTACCGCATCCGCCGTATTCACCTGATCTGGCACCATCAGACTTCTTTCTGTTCCCTAACCTAAAAAAGCACTTGGGTGGTCAAAGATTTTCGACAAACGACGAGGTCAAAGCAGCTGTAGACGCATATTTTGACTCTAAGGAAGAATCATTTTTTTTCAACGGTCTAAATGCTTGGAAGGGGAGGTGGCAAAAGTGTATTGAACTTGATGGTGATTATGTAGAAAAATAAAAATATAACTGATTTAGTATGTGTTTATTTTCTTGGTTAGGCCGAGTACTTTTCAATCCACCCTCGTATTATAATTTGTAAATATGGGACATAAGGTGAAACCCGTTACGAAGAGTAAAAAACGTTCATATAAATCAAACGCCCAACATATGAGCGATATTAAAAGGTTTTGCTTATTACTATAACATTTAATTATTAATAAATAATAATTTATTTTTACAACAATAAACCTATGAACTTTCGCAACGTAGTTTGTTACAGTTGTGTATTTGGTAGCGCAGGATGGATTTGCAGTTTGCATTCGAGAGTTCGAACATTTCTACGTAATTTAAAATCTTCAATTTTTTTTTATAGATTGGAAACAGGTACCACAGGAAATATATATATATATATATATATATATATATATATATATAATATTCTTGTGGTAAATATATATAAATAATTAAGATTTTAAATTACGTAGAAATGTCAATTCTAAATATTCTAGTTCTATGGTTCACAAGATACTTAGGTAATTTTGCATTTTCTTTATTTTTTGTACTATTTGACTGAAATATTTTTAAGCCAGAAGTAAAAGACAAAACATTCACATTCACATCCACAATATATATATATATATATATATATATATATATATATATATATATATATATATATATATATATATATATATATATATATATATACTAAACTATATAGATATACTAGACTAAATATGCTAAATTGCTAACTCCCAACCATACTGCTTTCGAGGCAAAACATAAAACTGGTTTAAAAATAAAATACTCGAATAAGTGCAATAAACAAAGTCTAGTTTGGTAAAATTTTATTTTTTTCTTATTATTATATCAACATTTTTGCATTTATTTCAATTTAATTACACTTTGCGGCCTTAAATTGGAGTTAGCATATTTTACAATTGTATGGCGATTAGTTTGGGAATTATCAGATTTTAATAATTAAAGTATTATTTGATTAAAACTACTTTTACGGATTTTATCCCGTTTAATTTACTTGATTTTTAAAATTAAGTAAATTAAACGCTATAAAATCTGTAAAAGTAGTTTTAATCAATGTGTAGTGTTCACGTCAATATAAAATATCATAAAGTAAAAAATATGTAATATAGCTTTTAATATCGAAACAAATTCACAAAAATAAATTGAACATTATTAACACAAACAATATCGACCTTTAATCATGCGGTAAATTGTTGTAAAATTCTCTGATATCTGCTGGCAGGACTTCTTTAATTTGTTGAAGATCATCATATTTTCGAGCTTTAATTTTCAGCCTAGTTTGGTGCAAATTTTGCATTTCCTCAAAACTTTTTGCTGAATAAGGGCTTTTTCTTTGAGGCAGCAGCATCCATGGCTCTTCAAACCGCAACTTATATGAAATTTCTCCTGATGGAGACTACATGAGTGCGCGAATATCGGTGACTTTAGGGTCTCCCGATGATCGTCTAAAAATAATAATAATAACCCCCCCGGGAACACCTTGACGTGATGGGGGGGCTTCAGGGGAGGCATGAACCTAACAGCGGTCAC